ACAGGCAGGAGAACACACAGGGCTTAAATACACACACCAGTAATCAGGGGATGAGAGACAGGAGGGCAACACAGCTGGGAGGAATCGGAGCTGACGGGACAGGGGAAATGTAAACTGAACACACTCACGTCAGACAGAGACCTTCACAATAAAGCAGGAAACTCAAACACGGGGAACCAACCAAGACACAGAACTAAACAGACAGCTTCACAAACAGACGGGTTGACACCATAGACAGACAGAGACACAGACACAGACTCAAAGGCAGACCGAAGATAACACATAGAACTCAAACAATAATCATCATCATCATCATAATAAACTAGAAAATTATAATAAACTAAAAGCGCTGGGTCACCGACCTAGGACCATGACACCTCATATGAAACATCCCACCAATCCCAACAGAGATTTACCCGTCTGGGAACATAACTCCAGGCTAAATGACTGAGGATTTGCCCCGTCATATATATAGAAGCATGTCAGTACAATGGCACAGAATGAAGAAAGAGAGAAAACATGTGCAGAAGGTTTTTAATCAGCGTTTCAAACTGAGTGTCTGATGACAAGGAAAACTACTATAGTTTCCTAGCTTAAATCATAAAATTGTAATATATATATATATATATAATATTATATATATATATATAATATATATTACTGCGATAACAGTGATTGTCGCCTCATGTGAGCATTAATCCTGTTTTTCACTTAAAAAAAATAAGAATAAATTCTTCACCTAATTTTGTTTACTTAATTTTGTAAAAAAAAACCAACCCACCCATGCTGTCATTTGACCATCATTATGCACTTAGACCTTATTCTTAGAATATTCACAAGATACAAAGTACCTATTCAGCCAAAACAGTGTGCTTTTGACAATTCGATTATTGTCTATTATTATCTGTTATTGTGCACTTATTCTGGTATTTAGCAATAGGAGAGAATTACAAAGTTTAAAAAAATAAATAATAATAAATAAATATCCTTTGCAGGACCAGGTGGTACAAATAATGCAACCTCAGATAAACAATAAATACTGCAGTATGTACTTTAATAAATAAATAACTTCTTCCTGTTTCCCTCCTTAAGAGGGGCAAAAATAGCAGCTAGGTGCTGATAATCAAATTCACTTGAATTACTGGTCATCAGGACGTGAGCTCCTCTGTAAAAGCAGAAGTTTTGTTAGCATTCAAATGTGGCCATTAACACAATGCCATGTGCCCATCAATCTGGGAAGAGTTTTAAGGCCATTTCAAAACATTTTGAAGTCCAGCGTTCAAGAGTGAGAAGCTGGGAAACATTCAAGAGAGCTGCCAATCTTCCCAGGAGTGGACATCACAATAAATTCACCCCAAGGTCAGACTGTGCTCAAAGAAACTCTACCCAAGAGCGACATCTCAGACTCTACAGGACTCAGTTAGTATGTTAAATGTTAACGTTTATGATGGTACAAAAAAGATTGCACAACTAGTGACTATGTTAACTGTAGAGCAAAGGAAAAGAGGCTGTTATAGATGTTATGTCTGTGTACTGCAGATGTTGGAGTGATTAATGGGTTAATAAAAAACTGAACAAAAGAAGACTTTCTTTTCTAATATCTATGCAAGAATTAAGTGTTTGCATCTGACACATCTCTTGCGCTAGTTTGCTCCTATGGTTCATATCAGATTGTTGGGATATTTAGGATGGAGGACTTGATTAAATGTGTTTCACACTTAGTTTGGTGTCTCTAATGAGATAAAACGAGTTAATAAGTCAGCTTTAGCGGTGGATTTGTTTGCATTCTCAGACTATCTATAAGCTCATTGTGTCCTCTGTTTCCTGCCTTCATGCTAAACTAAGCCAACTGGTCGACTTTATCACACTTGTCATCTAAAATCAAATGAACACTATCATCATCTTAAGCAAACAGTTGCTACCCTATTCCCACAGCGGGAGCCCAAAATGAATCCATCCGTCTTTATCAGTTCTAACTGCCCATCTGAGACCTTCGTTGTGACGCTACTTTAAAGTCAGTTGCTGGGATCCATTTCATGAAGTTTGACAGGGAGTGCAGTGAAGTTCTTCCAAAGGATCATATTGGATCTTGGATGACCCAGAGAAATTCCAGTCCAGTTGGTTGCTCTGGCACTAATGATTAACAGTCCACTAGTGACGATGGGGAGTGCCTGGTTTGACCTTTCCACATGGCTGTATTTGCAGCAGAAGTAAGTACCAGGCTTTACCATCACGATAGCCTTGCTGTGCCCAGACAGCTGCACCTTTATCCCCTTGGCCTCAGCAGCTGAGGTGGAGGCCTCAGTCCAGAGAGTGCAGAGAGAGGGAGGTTTCAGCTAAATGCTGGGAAGAAGGAGCAAATGCTGAGGGCACGTTAGGGCAGTCTTGGGCATCCTTTCAACTGGTCATATTTATTATATGCACAGTTATATGTTTAACTGGACCTCATGTCTCCAATTAAGTGAACTGAACTGAATTGATTGTTTCCCATGTCTGAATACTAAAGCATTATAAAATAGAATCAGTTTAATTTACACACGAGCAGCAAAGAACATATCATTTTTAGTTATGCTCATATTTTATGGTTAAATCCCTTTAGTTCCCTCAAACACCACCTTTAAAAAAAAGAAATAAATAAAAAGATGCCACATGTTTATTACAGTGACAATAATCCAATTTTTCCCAGTCTTTCTTCCAATGTAGTACAACATGATCTTCTGTCTGACAAACTGCCTTCTGACTTCAATTTAACAGTACTAGTCCAAATAACATAACCTCCTGTTTGTCTCTGCTTCCCATTTCAAACATGTCTGGCATACATAAAACACTGCTGCTGTTTACTACAGTCGAAAGAAGTCTGAAAAATTACTGCTAAAATTTTAAATAATTGGTGGGAGAGACAGCAATTTCCACAAGCATATCTAAAACATGTAAACTCAGGTTAGAGCTCTCAGGATGCATCAGAGCCATCGTTCTTATTAAATGATTAATCTGCATTTAATAGGTTTGGGGGCTCAATTCCTTGTTGTGTCACTGAAGCTGTTCTTAATCAGTTTTCAGGGTGTGGCAGGATGCACTTTTACACTGGGGGAGGACACTGGGATTAGGGTTAGCTACCACCATGAAGTAGGTGGGGGGTGCTATGTTTGCAAATGTTTGACTTCTATGCGAGAGGGATTCCTGTTTGTATAAAAATTGGTCATTTTTAGCCTGTTGCTAGCAGGTTGCTGGGGATGTAAAATCTTTATTTAATTATTAAAATATTGATAAAATGTTGGTGTCATGAAAATGACTTTTTTAAGGTGCTGTAGGTGCACAAAGGTTAAAAACAGGTCATTTTAGCCCATTGCTAGGCAGCTGCTAACCAACGTGATCACATCAGGTCACCTGTGAGTGATTGAATTAGTATGGCTGATCAATTTCTATAAGTAGTAAAAAGGCAAAAGTGATATAAACCAGGCTGTTGTTTATATCCCAGTTGAACTGGTTGCCACAGCTACAAGAAATTGGGATTTGCTTCCAAACTTTAAGCTAAATGCTAAATGTACTTGTTTTCTAATCAATTTGAGCACTCAAACAGCTTTTTTCCTACAAACTTGGTTCACCAAGTTCACCTATTCATTCATGCTTAAGCACTTTTAACCGATTGTTCACAAACACACACAAACACTCTGTTGGATGCATCAGATGTAAACAACCCGCTCTATCTCCTGATCCTAAAGCTAAGACACAAACTGTTTCACCTTAGTATTAATACTTCCTAAAATCTACCAGTCACTGGTCAGCACTAAAGTAAAAGTACTGATGACTGAGGCAAAAGTGGTGAGGATGATTTCAATGAAAAACTAATGAATCACATGACTTACATGAGTGCTAAATTTAATGGGAAACTCTCAAATTGTTGTTGACATAACCACAATGTCATCCCCCTGGTGGTGCAAAGGACAGGTTTTGCACAAAGTCATTACAGCAAATCAATATTGTTTTAAAAGATTATCTCATGAGACAAATCCCTGTTAACTGAAGTGATGGGATAGCCAGCGATATGGCTGAACCCAACTGTGATAAACATGGTGGCTAAAACCATAGAGACAGCACCCTCATAAACTGATTTAACACTTTGTTAAGCACCAAACTCTTTATGCCGTGCTACAAATAGAACACTAGAATCTTAGTGGAGCATTGCTGACGCATTTTCTCACTGGAGAGTGTCCAGGGACCACAGGGTCAGGAAAACCTGCCTCAGAGAGAAAGGGAGACGTCGAATGACAGAAGAAAGAGTGGGGAAGCGCCTGGGGGTGCGGGTGGGGGTGACGGAGGGGGCTGCGGTGTGGATTAGAGAGCATCAGAAAATAGTGCTAAAATTTTCTAAGAAAACAAGTGGGTGTCTGTCATTAGCAAGTCTGGATATTGTAGCCAACAAATGGGAGGGCTGGGAATGAATGTGGAGTCCCCCTGTGAGGGGAAATATGGGGAGGCAGGAACAGATGAGACATTTGAGTAGCAACAAATCTCACAGGACAAAAATCTTGAACATTTGACTCTTGGCATCTTTTCTATCATATATAGAAGGCTGCAGGAATATTGTGTCATTACTCAATAGTATGCATATGCATTAGAGTGCAATGTTGTGGTAATGATGGATAACTGCGACAGAAAGAAAACAAACAATAGCAAGGAAAGATGAATAACTCTCTCCAAGGAGTGGAAAAGGGAGGAATGATATGATACGACTGTTCTGGGGAGAAGCAAAAATAATGAAAGAAGAGAGTGAAGCACAAGTGAGTGAACACGTGAATCACAGGGAGAGGATGTGAGCGAGTGAACAACTTCTGAGTGACCTTAAAAGGCCACATGGCTGAGCTGGGGACAAAATGAGCGAGTGAAATGGGGCCTCGGGTTTATCTCTGTGAAGCTCTGCTGTATTTATAGATCATCTCAAAAAAGAATCCCTGCCCCCTTGTAACCCCCCTCCCCCCACATCTATCATCCCTCCCCCATTTTCAATTAGCCCCTGATGGGTGGAGTAAAGCAATCAGGAGTAAGTACAGCTCACCCGGAGCCTGCTCCTTCAGTCTGCCACAGACTCCACACAGGCACACACTCCTCAGACAGGAAGGTAAGAACCAACTCTGTTCAACTGCTCCACTCTCCATGTATTCACTTGTCCATTCTTCCGCCTATCCATTCTCCTCACTGGTTTTCATTCACCATGTCTTCCATTCTCCACCACACTGGCATCCTCCTATCTGCCTCCCCACCCACCTTCTCGTGTTCTCCCTTCTTCCACCTGCAGAGCATTGTCACTATTTAACTACCTCTTCCATCACCTCACTTTCCTTTCGGCCTGTTTCATGCAGACTGGATTCCTTATTTAGTAAAAAGCTCTTCCTTAAATCATCCAGTGATGGGTAGGCTAGTTATCTTGAACCTTTTCTGCTCCCTTCTCTTCAAAACGTAAACCTAACTTTACTACTATAAAACCAGCCACTTCCTAATAACTTCTGTTGCTTTTTATGGCTTTACAGTATTTTGGTGTTTTTAGATCACACTTTTTCTAAACTGTACAAAAACTGTGCTCTCTCTCATAGAAATACAAATGATTGATGCGGGGTTCAGATTTTTTAATTGGGTTTGCCTGAAGGGGGATCAGCAAATCAGATTAGATCAAGTTAAGATCAATTAATGTTTAATTCTGTGTAACACTTAGAAGGTTGCTATGTGACCGAAAAGGATATCCTTCAGGACTGTTAGGTCAGGAGAGTAGAACACTAAAGTGGGCTAGCATCTGTAAAGATGAGTAAAAGGCTGCGATTTTAAGCTTTTCTGCATCTTTTTTGGCGTTATGATGCGATCGCACAATTCCTTTTTGCAGTTTCACTCTAACTAAACGTTCTTAGACCTAAATATAAATGTTCCAGTGCATGCAGATAATGCCATACATGCAGAGATCTTATTAAAATACTGTAAAATAAGCAGTTCTCTACAAGGCACCATGTTTAGACACAAGAACCTTTTAATAGTTCACTTTTCTGTAAACTGTCTGTAGCTCAGGTTGACTCCCAGATGGGGAGCATCAAAGAGACCCCAGAAGCTGGGAAACAGCTGCATGGCATGTCTGAATGGCTGGAGCTTTTATTTGCGGCAGTTCAGATTAGCCTTTTTTTATTTTTAGGAGTCAGATAAATCCTTATATAAGCTAGGTGAGTCATGGTGGGAGTGATAAACAATGAGGGAATGTGGGAGGGCGCTGAGAATGCTTAGAGCAGAAAGGACGGGCAGATTAAACGTCTCAGCTTCAGCAAGATAAAAGAAACTAACCTTTTGAGTGTGGGGAGCATCGCAAATCACTCACGGACCACTTAGGTGGGAATCTACGGTGATCAAATATAGATCACAGGGAAGAACAATAAGATTAAAGGGATGACAGCAGAGAGCAGCTCAATTCAAACCAGAAATATGAATTTAAGCTTGGGGTTTCTGGAGGGGATTTTTGCAGGGTTTTTTTTGTCTTGATCTGCTTTATTTGGTGAGAGCTTGGGTAGTATTTAATTCTGTCTTGGAGAATGGAACTTCATCAACCCTTTTTTTTTTTTGCCCTGCATCTTCTCTTTTACCCACAAAGAAATACTCAAATAAATCGCTTATGTTATCCTCGTTTAACCAAGAGTAGCGATATAGGCACAGGTGGGATAGCCAAGAGCTCAACAGGCAGACCACAAACAGCTGCAGATTGTGAACAGTCATTATTACGAGTGTCGTTTAAACCCACTTATGCACGGACGCGCACACACAGTGACAAGGGATACTGTGATCTGGCGCTGACAGCTGGAGGTGAGGTGATAAATGGGTCGGCGTATAGTGGCGTAGTGTGTGTTGGTATGCAACGGGGTAAAAGTTGACTGTCTCTAAGCAGGACTGATAGGAGTTATTTATATCCGCCTCATCGCTCACCTTCTCATCTGTCACAAAATGAAGGACGCCTGAGAGATGGGAGAGGAAGATGAAAGAGGGAAATGCATGGAAAACTCCCCAACTTGTAACGTGACAGGTCTACTAATGCGTCCTAGAAAACGAGTTTGATTTCTAAGAAATGGTTCTCTGATGATTGCCAGCATCGCTCCAAGGATTAATTGGAGCAGGGAAGCAAAATGGCAAAAGTTTCTATGGTACTTAATATAAGCGTTCATATCCTGTATACATAATATTACCCTTAGGCTCTTTTGCTTCTTTCTCTCTCAGCTGAGCAGTGCTAGGTCAAAATGACAGAACGCTACGACTGCCACTACTGCAAAGAGTCCCTGTTTGGGAAGAAGTATGTTCTGCGAGAGGAAAATCCCTACTGTGTGAAATGTTATGAAAGCCTGTACTCCAACACCTGTGAGGAGTGCAAGAAGCCTATTGGCTGTAACACCAGGGTAAGAGATATAAAATGAAGAAATGCATACATACAAGAACAAGTAGAGAACAAGAACAAGAGTACTGCTCTTTCTGCAGGATCTTTCCTACAAGGACCGTCACTGGCATGAGGAATGCTTTAAGTGCTTCCAGTGCAAGCGCTCCCTGGTGGACAAGCCCTTCTCTACCAAGGACGAGCAGCTCCTTTGCACCGAGTGCTACTCCAACGAGTATTCCTCCAAGTGCCATGAGTGCAAGAAAACCATCATGCCAGGTAGGGAGAAAACTGAAATAGATCAGCAGAGTAGCTAGAAAAATTAAAACCTTAATTTGTCACTCAATTTTAAATTGGATCATTGCATAAATAAAAAGTCTTCTGTCTCACTCTATAGACTGGTTGGTGCAGATTATATTATATGAAAGTTGTAATGAGAATAAAATCCACTATTGTAGGTTGAGTTATAGCTGACTTTCTATGCTGGAAAAACAGAGCTGTAGCCCGGAGGGTGGGAAAGCACCTCAGAGGTCTGAAGGTTGCCTGTTCAGTTCAGGATCTCTGCAAAAATAAGGATAATGTGGAGTAACTTAACTAAAGCTAAAATTGAATTAAACCAAGTAATAGAACTAGATTGAGAAGTTTGAAACAGTACTGATATTGTTTGTGCTATTTTCCCAGTGGATGAACAAGAAGGTTTCCTTTTTTTTTCATTTGATTAGCTGGGCACGATACATGCCCATTAGTCCTGTTTGCCCACATTGCTGTAGTACAGTTATAATAATATAGGGTATAAACACATTAATTTTGTCAGTACATTTACAGAAACCTGTTTTCTTTTCACTTTAATAGGTACAAATAAAGTAACAACTAATTACTAAGTATTTGTAACCTATTCCTATACACTTCAACCTGAGCAGTGATTGGTATGGAGCGACATGCGGCACATACTATAGAATAAAACCATACCTTGTTGGGCCTTTGGAGTACTAGAACATGTATACTATGTTGACCCAAAATTGAATTTAATCATTAGTTGTAAACTTACTATTTTCTGAAGGCTCCAGGAAGATGGAGCACAAGGGGAACAGCTGGCACGAGACCTGTTTCACCTGCAAGCGATGCCAGCAGCCTATTGGCACCAAGAGCTTCATCCCCAAGGACAACCAGAACTTCTGTGTGCCCTGCTATGAGAAGCAGTTTGCCATGCATTGTGTGCACTGCAAGAAGGTAGCACATCCACTGCTACATACAATGATATCGAGTAAAATGTACTTTCAAAGTAGCTCTCTATTTTCAGTCTCCATTTTCACACTACATGTTATTGTTGCATGTGTAACAGCACTAAAGTGTGGCAGTAACCCAGTTCTCTCTAAATAGCCCATCACCACTGGCGGGGTGACCTACCGTGACCAGCCCTGGCACAAGGACTGCTTCCTTTGCACTAGCTGCAAGCAGCAGCTGTCTGGACAGAGGTTTACCTCCAGAGACGACTTTGCCTACTGCCTCAACTGCTTCTGCAACCTTTATGCTAAGAAGTGTGCCTCGTGCACCACCCCCATTAGCGGTAATCTTTAATCACTGGGTCAACTGAATCTAATAAGGCTCATTTATAACAGGTTTGTCAGATGTATTGACTTCAACTTGATATTCTCAGGTCTTGGGGGCAGCAAGTATATCTCCTTTGAGGAGCGTCAGTGGCACAATGACTGCTTTAACTGTAAGAAGTGCTCCGTGTCCCTGGTTGGCCGTGGATTTCTCACCGAACGCGACGATATCCTGTGCCCAGAGTGCGGCAAAGACATCTAATTCAGCCCGAGTGATGACCGTTACATCTGACGGGATGACCGCGTTATGATCAGGGAACGATGCAGAGTTGATAAATTCTATTTGAGCACAGTGCATGACATCTATAACATCGTTACTACAAAGCAATACTATGAATGTACATGAAATACAAGCTACTAACAGTGTTCTTTGAGATAAGAGAGTTCATTTAAGTTAAATGTTCACTATTTGAGGAAAGAAAAAGTAATTACTAATCAATAAATGTAGGCATGAATCTGCTGTATTGTGCTCATGAAGAGAAAATGTTTCCAAGTAGATACTGAAGTAAGGATTCTGAGGAAAATCTACAATTTTACTGCACATTATCAGCTTAATAATAGTAATTACTGCTTTGTGCATGTAATTAGAGTTTTTGTGACATTTAACCACTTAAATATTAAAAATGCATATTTATTCATATAAAGGAATAAATATGAATACATTGCATGAAAGATGAAAAATATAAATAAATAAATTCTGCATGAAATAAGATGATTTCAGGATTTCTAAACAAAACACAAAAACAAAACAAAAATATCAAAAGAGATTAAAAATGGCAAAGTCAAAATGTTTTTATTGGTAACTTACAAAAAGAAAAGATTAAAAATGTTCTAGAAAAGCACTACAGATTGCTCGGTGGAAGATTTTTATCATTTCATTCAGTGTTACTCTAATGTCCAGTTGAACACCATGTCAAACATGACACATAAAGCCCGTAACATTTCTTACATAATTAAATCAATGAACATCCTTATTTTTTTTTTTTTATTTAATTCATTTTTTATGACACTTTTGTACAAACACTGATTCAAAGCACATTTTCCGGTGTGTTTTAATGAACTCCACATCGTAACTGCAAAGTCAATTCTCCTTTTCTCCAGTAAATAGGCTTCAAAAGTTCTGCATTCTTGGTTTTGCCCAAGCTCGTTTTATGTGTCTGAATTATTAAAAACTGGTATTCAATTGCAACCCAGTTTCTGAAAAGTTGGAAAACTGTAAAATGTTAATACAATTTGCAAGACATATCAACGATTGAAAAACAGGTTGTTGTGTTTTTAAGTGGTATGTTTAACGCTGTGTTGCTCATCACAGGTAAGTGTTTGGAAAATGAGGAGGTAAATTCTTGTAGTTCTCAAAGTCTTGCTTGGGTTGAGATTTCAGGGCTTCTTTGGTCAGATTTTTGGACGTTTTTCCTACTAAGCTACACTGTTGGCTTAGCAATGTTGGCTAAAATACACAAGAGGCCTCCACAGAAAAGTCTTCTGGATTCAAGTATGTGATGCTGTATTGTTTAGCATTATTGATGCCTTTACAGATGTTGCTCAGTCTATGTTCACTAACGTAAGCCTATGCCAGCACAGTTGCTGCCTTTGCTCTTGGTGTCAGTAAGCCAGGCCGTCCCCCTACCACACGATTTTCAAATACCTTATGACTGCAAATTTACATTTTTCTTGTCACAGGAGAGCATTTCATTTCACTTTAATCCATTGTTTCTTACTTGTTTTTGTTTTTTTAACTTTGCATAGTGTTGTTTAACTTGTATTTTTGGTTTAAATAATTTGTGTTAATTTGTTCATAAAGAGAAGATTATCTTTAGATTAAAAAAAACAAAACCCCCAATTCCAAAAAATATAAAAACAGACTGAAACGATTTGCAAATTTTATGAAATTTAATTAAACCATAATTTATTCACAATGAAACATAGAAAACATCAAATATTTAAACTGAGACATTCTATTATTTCATAAAAAATACTTGCTTAATTCAAATTTAATGGCAGCGACATGTGATGGGGCAACAAATGGCTGGAAAAATAGCTCATACTAAAAAATACAACTGGAACTAGTTTGCAGCTAATTAGGTTAATTGGTAACAGATCGTGACATGAGCTGATATTAAAAAAAGGAGCATCTTAGAGAGGCAGAACTTCTCAGAAGTAAAGCTGTGCACAGGTTCACCACTCTGCAAAGAATTGTGTTCACAATTGTTGCATCAATCTATTTTAGAGTAATGGTCTTAAATGTAAAATTGAGAAGAGTTTCTCGTTATCTCAGTACATAATATCAGCAGAATATTCAGAGAATCTCTGTGCACACCAATAAGGTGAAAACTCAGTATTGGATGCCTGTGATCTTCGCACCCTCAGGCAGCACTGCACTGAAAACAGGCAGGATTCTGTCACAGATCACTGCACAAGCTCAGGAAGACTTCCAGAAATCACTGTCTGTGAACATAGTTCACTGTGGCATCCACAAGTGCAGGTTAAAGCTTAATCATTCAAAAAAAAAAAAAAGAAAAAAAAGAAGCTATATGTCAAAATGATCCAGAGACACAGCTGTTATCTCTGTGCCAAGGCTCATTTATAACTGCCAAGACAAAGTGGAAACTGTTCTCCAGTCAGACGAGCTGAAATTTGAATTTCTGGGGGCGGAAAACATGGATGCTATATCATCTGGATTAAAGAGGAGAGGGACCATCCAGCTTCATCCATGTGCTCAAAAGTCTGCATTTTTGATGTTATGAAAACAAGAACAGAAAATGTGGCACATCATAAAACGAAAAACACAACAAAGATGATCCAAGACTGTTGAACAGCTAGAATCTTCGATCAGACACGAACAGGACAAGTCCGCTCCCAAAAAGTCCAGCAGCTGGTCTCCTCAGTTTCCAGATGTTTACGGACTGCTGTTAAAAGAAGAGGTGATGCTACACAGTGGTAAATGTGGCCCTGCCCCAACTTTTTGAGATGTGTTAAGGCCATCCAATTCATAATGACTTTATTTTCTTCTTAAAATGCCACGCTGCCAGGTCAAACATGTGATATGTTTTCTATATGTTGTTGTGAATAAAATATGGGTTTATGAGATCGCATTCTGTTTTCATTTACATTTTTGCACAACATCCCAAAATGTTTGGAACAGTATTTACAAAAGTGGTCCTTTTAAAAGACTCGGCCTCTCTGCGATGCTCTTTTTATGAACAAGTAATTACTGGTCTACTAACAATAAAGTTCAATATTGTTTTTATTTATCCCATCGTTATGTGCAGCATATGTAAAATCTCACACCAGAGTGACATTTCAAAATCCTGGAAAGCTTATGTAGTGCTCAACAAATGCAAATCTCAGTTGAATTCATAACAGAAATGATAAAAAGTCACTGATCACACAACTTCTAAAATGTGATGCTCACCATGATCTGTCTATATTCATTTACAATACACCGAAGAAACAGATCTGTCTCATAACATGTCTGCATTCCCTCTTGCTTACTTCCATTGTTATCACGTTATAAGATCCTTTAGCATCCAGTTGAACACACAGCCATCATTCATCACCCCGGGGCCTTTTAACCTAAACCAGCAACAGAATGAAAAGAGCAATAATTCACCTCACTCATTTTGGATGGGACTTAATGCAAGTTGCTGATTAATGCTGGTAAGGGCACTTGAGGTTTTGGAAAACATCAAGGAAGCTCGTGACTTCATCCCGGTTTGTAAGCTCTTATAACTGAATGGCAACAGTTAAGCAGCTTTGACCCACAGCTTGAAGGGTTTCCACCTCTTTCTGTGGATAAATGAGTTGGGAAAATTGTGATGGGACACCTAAGGTAGTGGACAACCACAGGTTACGGACAGGGAAAGGAGTGGTCTGCCTGCCGGACTTTGAGGTCCCACCAGGTCTGTATGAAAAAGAGGCCAAAGATCAGGGCCAAGTCACACGCTGGATCTTGTTCTTCACTTCCGGAGACTTCAGTGCCCCCTAAAACGATGGAGGATAAAACATAAACAGGCATTATGAACTGCATATTTTTCTTTTTTTAAGAATAAAATGATTTTTTTTTATTATAAATGTCCTTACAGATTCTTTAGAATATCTCCAAACACACAAACAATATGAACACTTGTGGATTACTTTCTTTGTGCATGAATAACTGAGGAGAGAAGTTCCTACCGACATATTTTCTTCTAGTTTGAGGTTTTTTGTGTCACTGCTGCGCTGACTGGATGGAGAGGAAGATGTGTTGACTGAGAGTTTGCGGATGGGGTTGAAAAGATTTGCTGCTGGTGGAGGTTTTAACCTGTCGTTGCTTCCTATTGACACTATACTTCCCTCTGGTTTCTTCACTTTCAGTGGGCCAGAGTGAGAGGAGCTCCCATCGTACACAATCAGAGGCCTCTTTCTACTGTGGTCACTGCTGGAGCTGAAAAACCATATGAATCAGTTTCTGAAATGCATTAATCTTATTTTAACATTACAGGCTACAGTTTTCTTTTGTTTTGCCACATTTACACCTGGACTGTGTCTGTATGTTTTTTCCAGATACTGATATATAGTCCATGGATGAAAGTTATTGCTTCTGTTTTACAAACTTTTAAATATGTTGTTTTACATGCATTTTTATTCCTATACCTTGCTGAAAGACTTCCAACCAGGACAGAAACTGTTAAAGCTGAAAAAAGTGCACCAACATCATATCAAAACCAATGATATAAGAATAGGATGTCACTTAAGTTCATATATGTGTGAAGCCAGATGAGCAAGTACTTTTAGCAATATAGTGCATCTGTCCTGGGGCCTTTCACAGAGTTGTTACGTCTGTTGACTGATCAGTGAAATTACAGTAATAACACATTCGTTTCGCCTTTCATAGAACTGGGCAAATTATTTGGTCCAAATTCTAACATCATAGTCAAATTATCTATATGCAGACAGCCTAAAATTGCACATGAAAGTACTAAATGTCTGAAGCTGTGGACCCATACTTGTCTGACCGGTGAGCTACCGGCGTTTGCTTCCCTCGGCTCTTCTCCATCCTCCGTCCCCAGCGGGTGTTGGGTAAAGTCCTCTGCGGCAGAGGGATGATATGCCGCAGGTAGAGCTCTGTGAGCTGGTCCCTGCTCCCACAGTCTCTGGTACTCACGTTTTTCTGATTCAGAGAAAAATATCTCCACTTTAAAAATCACAAGCAGCGCCTTGAGTTGAGTGTACAGTAACCAGAGAGGTGTCCTGCTTGTTAGCTTACATGCTAACATTTCCGCATTCTTCATTTATTCTCGCATCAAATCACATTTCTAGAGTTCCTTTTAAAACACCGACTTACCTCATTTAAAACTAGCCTCATAAAGTCCTGAGACAACAACTCAGGGTGAAGCAAGAGATCCGCATCCGAAGTACCAGCAGCCTTTCCATTTTGCCCCGTGGAAGTCGCCATGTTTGCCTTTCTTCTTCGCTGTTGGAGGTATACGACAGTTTGCATCCTTGAGATTACAGGAATATCACTGCCTCCTACTGGCTTTAGACACTTAAAACCGTTTACATATTTGGTATGTATTTTTTAATAATGGTTATTTTCCTCTATAATTTTATTTCATTTCAGTTAGTTTTATTATTTTCAAAAGTCTATTTCTTATTTTTATTTTAGTTAACTATTTTTTTTTCATATCTAGTTTTAGTCTAGTGTTAGTTAACAATAATAACCTTGATGAGCATCATTATTTTTTGGGTTTGTTTGGTTCTGTTTTTGTTTTTGGCTCATTTGGATCTTATTTTTAATTCTTGGATGAAAATACTTTTTTTTGCATTTCATAATCCTAAAGCATGCTCTGGTAGGTTGAGATCAGTTGACTGACTTGAAGAATATCCTATTTCTTTGCCATGGGAAACATTTGAATTGCAGTATGCTTTAGTTCATTATGCATTTGATCTGTATGTTAAGTTTTGCAGCAGAGTGTATAGTTCTGTTTACTTCACAATTAATCCTGCTACCTCCATCAGCAGTCAAGCTGAAAGTCTGCACTTGACTTGCGTAATCCACCGGGGTGGTACACAGGGATGACATAAAAAAAAAACTATACCACTGTTGTGGCCCTTTACAAATAATGCCCTTGTGCAGGGCTTGCTCTTTTAATGCAATGAGCTTACTCGTTCTACATGTTTTATCGTTAGAGAGGAAGAGAGTCAAAGAAACTTTAATCCAAAACTATATTTATTTACATATCTTATGTGACATGATAATGCAGTTAACACTCATTCCTCTATAACAGAAACATTAAGAGTCATGAACCAGCTGACAGAGGGCTGTGTTTCTACACAAATTTCATCAAACACTTTTTAACAGTGGTCTGACTTTCATCTGAGAACATCACCAAACATCAATACTGTAATTTGTTTTTGTTTTTCTGAATCTTAGCACATAACTGACAACATAATTATTATCAACGGTACAGCTTCAGACTAATGAAACAACAAAATGACAGCTCAGGGACAGCACAGGAAACAGAAAAATAAAGCAGAAATGGAAGATATAAAAATGTTTTTTTAAATGTCAGTATGTTTCAGAAGCTTGCGTGGCCATGAAGCTGAATGAACACTTTGACTTTATTTATTAAAACAGCAGACAAATGATTGTCCCCACCAGATCAGTTCAGTTGTCAGCAATTGTGATTTTCACATGACCTTCCCCAAAAGGAGGGAGTCATGGGACTGTAAATGCTCCAGTTTCAATAAAGTTAAAACCAATTTGTTCTTGTGGTAACATTTATTTGTTCACAAGAACTTTATTACTTTAAAGGGAACTTCAGTAACATCCCATAGCTTATCAAAAAGTTAAAAACATTAGACTGCATTGGGTTTCCTCCCTGTGTCACACAGCTGACTGCGTCTCACTGCAAACATAGATATTGCTGGGCCTCACTCTTCTGTGGCTCCTGCCCGGCACTCTGGGACACAGTCTGCAGCTTTTCGGAATGAACTCCTGACAGGCCTCCCTGAACTTCCTGATCCTCCAGCAGTAGATGACGGGGTTGAAGACCGTCTTCAGGTAGCTGAGCCACAGAGCGCCTATGCTGATGGGGTAGAAGACTGAGCTGTAGTAGAACTGCCGGCTGAACACGGCCAGCAGGCTGACGATGGTGTGAGGGAGCCAGCACACTGAGAAACCAACAAAGAGGATGAGGATGGTGGTGAAGGCTCGGGTTTTGAAGCTCATGTCCACCTTGACCTGAGGCGGCCGCTGCAGTCCGGTAAGTCTCATTTTGCTGACTTGGTTTAGGGCTGGCAGACAGGAATGCTCGGTGGTGTGGTTGTGGATGCGCAGGGTGTTGCGGCGCACCGTGTTGAGGATGCACATGTAAGAGTACAGCATGACAGTAAATGGCACAAAGAAAACCGCTACAGCCAACAGGACTGTGTATCCACGGTCTGCCAGGGACTCGCTGTATCCCAGCACGCACTGCGGTGCCCAGGCGCCCCCGATACCTGCCGCGCCCGCCCTCCACCCAACCACTGACGGCAATGACACACACAGGCTCAGCACCCAAGAACCTGCGATCAACAGTTTAGCTCTGTGCGGGGTCAGTTTGTCCTGCCGCTGCACAATGATCAGGAAACGGTCCACGCTGATAATGAGGAGGATGGACACCCCCTCCAGGACGAACAGCCAGTACAGCATGATGGAGGCGCGGCAGAAACCGCTCCCAAAGCTCCAGTCTGCAGTGGCCACGGTGACTGCAGTGAAGGGCATGCAGAGCAGAGAGAGCATGATGTCTGAAAAGGCCAGAGTGGCAAGCAGGAGATTGATAGCAGAACGCATGGCAGGTTTCTGGTAAACAATCAGACACACGATCGCATTGCCGAGGAAACCGATAGTAATCATAAAGATCATTATGGCTGCCAGGGTCACACGCAGAGTGACTGATATGAGAGGAGTCGTAGCTTCTGATGGGAGGCTTTCTGACGTTTCCTCTACGCTGTTCGGGTCCATGCAGTTACACTCCTCCATGAAGCTTTCATTACAAAAAGCCATAGCAGCGATTATTCAGGGATAAAAGGTGAACATTTCTGGCTATGCCTGTGGTTCAGAAGTAAAGCTGTCCTCCAGCAGTTGAGATTCCATGGGACTACCTGTGATTAAAAAAAGACAAAAAAAAAAAAACATTCACATAAGGCATTTGTGAATAAAAAAGAAAAACAGTCAAACACATTAGTAGGATCAATCAGAGATTTTAATGGATGGTCTCTTTAGAAGCTGTGATAAATGTGCCCAAAAACAATAGAAAAAAAGGGAGTCTAATAACTGATCTATTAGTCAGTGAGAACTGTAGACATGAAATAGTGAGAGGAGGAATGACGTCCACTAAATGTGATCAACCCAGAAACACACCACACTAAGAGTTACAGCCACACGGGACAGAGATGTGTCGTTCACCGTCCTCACTGAGGTTGATGATTAACAGCCAAGCTGCTTCACACTTGAATAGAAATACACACATTTACACATCACCCAGGGTGTAGTCAATTGTCAGCTTAGCAGAATCTCGCTCTTGGTTAATGCTACAGATGGTGACACATTTGTGATGAAACAGAACCTTCTTCAAGAGGGCCGCAGTTTTTACTTCCTGCTGCCGATTGAGGGACCAGAGTGTAGAGATTTAGAGTTAAGGCTGTTTTGAGGTCACTATGGCATTCACGTCCCCCATGCAGCCCTCCAGTCTGGACAGGTTTCTAGCACCTGGGCCTAAGGGTCCCTCCTGTAACACATCAAAATTGTAAATATGCTGCATAATTGATAAAATAACCTAAAATAAAAGAGGAGCCACGTGATTTCAGATCAATGGCCCCATCCAGACAGGAAAAGTGAAAATATGCCTTTTTAGTGACTGTAGCTACATTCTGGCACACGCACAAACACACAAGTCATGGCATAGTGTTGCCGGCTGTTGCCACGGCAACAAGGTCAGCGGCTCCATGGCAACAAGCAGCCCTTATTCTCATCTCTTGTACAAGAGTCTATGACAAAATATTTTCTGGATCACATGATTCGCCGAAAGACTTTTTTTTTTCCCAAGACGCAACCTCACAGTCAGAGAAGAAGACTCCCTGACCGCTCGCCTCTGTCTTAAAACCAGATCACAGCTGTTTGGTGTCAGCAGTGAACAAACAAATCAGCCTGTTTACTAAGACAATAACAATTTCAATCCTTCACTTGTACTGAATACCAGTGATCTTAATTATGCTGCTGAGCTGGCTGCTAGCTGCAGATCTGCAGGGTGGCCTAATCTTAAGGCATCTAATACTCTAAAAACTCTTATTATGTACATGTGATTTACAGCTGCTCTGATCATAGCTGATATTTACTGGTTTACACCATGCCATCATCTCCATGTGCTGATTCTCCCTTTCTTCATTTCTTTCTTTTTTTCTTGTCATGGCTCCTGCACCGACCCTGTACAGCCTGTTCTTGCCTTAACATGTAACAGCTTTCACACACTGGCCCGTTGCAACAGGCTAAATGTTGCATATATTAAACGCCAAGACACAACGCCCTGTTTTTCTCTGCGCACTGCCTTACACAATGAACCATAAATGAACATCTGCAGGTGCTGACGGGACTTACCTTGACTATTACCGGGTTGTGTACTCGTCTCTCGTCGAGCCAGTCAGCTCGGTGACGGTCTCTCTCCTCCGGTGCCTGCTGAGGTCTTCCAAAAATATCCCACTTTGAACATTTCACTGCCGTATCGATCCCCACCGTGCCGCCTGCGGATGATGCTGACGCCAGAGGAGCAGGTGGTCTCACATTTAAAGGAGCAATGTGTCAAAATTGACCATCCTTATCATCCTAATCCTTATTATTGTTACGATTAGCACGGTCAACTGTAGGTTTAGTGTGAATCGAGCAGTTGCTGATGTGCCGAATCTCCGAAAGAAATGAACGAATTTTTTTTTTAAAAACTCACGACGGTAATAGTTATTTATTGGCTTCCAAGATTTACATTAGTATGACATACATTAATGTTCAAAAGTATCGATCTACACCTGTTCATCTTTGGATTTCGGTGTTATCAGTCCCAGTGCCACAGTCAGGCCCTGAGCCATGCAGTTTGCCTTTATAAATATTTGTGAAAGAATGGGTCGTTTTGAAAAGCTCACTACTATAACAGGAAAGTGCCTTTACAAAATTTCCAACCCTCTTAGATATTCCACAATCAACTGTGAGTGATATTACTGCAAAGTGGAAGCTTCTCAGTCACAAAGTGGCAGACCATAGAGTTGGTGCTGAGGGCAGAGCGTGTAAAAATAGCCAGGGTTACTGAAGAAATTCTAAACCTCCACTGCATTAACATCAGCACAGAAACTGAGTGATGGGAGCTTCATGCATGGCCTGTAGGTGTAATGTGTGGGTGGCCCAGTATATTTGATTGCATGTACCAATATATTATATATATTAGTTTTAGGCATGATAAATGTTACCAGCCACGAGCATAGGCTATTTGCAGCATTTTAGTTTTAAAGGGCATTTTATTTTCTGTTCCTAAACCCATGCAGTCAGCAAAATGATAAGTTATTAATCCCTTACAAAATGTATAAAACTATACAATAAATGAAAGTAAAGTAAATTAATTTAAATATCTGGAAATTCGTGGAATAAAAAAATTATTTAGTTTAACCCTGTTTTTTTCCAGGCTTTGTGATCCCCCATGCAGCCTATTCACCTCCGTTCTTAACCTGTTCAGTTCAGTTCATTCCAGTTTTATTTATTTAGCATTAATTCACGACAACAGTCACCTCAAGATGCTTTGTATTTTTAGGACAAACGGTCTTTAATGTTTGAAAGAAAACCACAAAAATAAGATGATTCCTATGAGCAAGTAGTTGGCAACAGTGGGATGGAAAAACTCCCTTTTACCAGGAAGAAACCTCCAGTCGGAAGAACCAGATTCAGGCAGAGGAAGGATGAGGTGAGAGAGAAGAGAGCATCGAGAGATGCCACCAATTTATTTTTAACTTTAAACACAAGTATGTTGTTTTGAATTTAATTAACAACATAATATTTCAATACAACAAAATGCAGTAAATTAAATCCAACATAAAAAGTTCATTTACAATGAATAACACTTTAATTTAAAGAGGATTGTCCTAATAGGCTCTCCATATTTCTGAGTTTGCACATGTGCAGTGTGGAAGTTTGATCATCGCCATTTTCAACTGAGACTTGTATATGCTTAGTATCCTGGATAGAATCCATCGCCATCTGAGGATTATTTGGTAAGTACAACAATTTAAGGATGATAAATTTGATTAATGTATACTAACTGATAAACATCTGGCACTTTCGGGAATACTTTTGCTTTTTTTTTAAACAAATGATGCCTGGCAAATTTTTTAACACTCTAGCTTGTATACCTCTCTCACGTTAGAAGTATGAAAACATTTAACAAATATTGTTGAACCTGCTTCGGTGTAATTTTCCAAAATCTTTTGCGATTCTTGTTAAGATGAGACTTGCCTACTAAGACCGACAGTTTTAAAATTACTCCCAACATCTACCGCACCTGCTCCCTGACATCAGTAATGACCACTGGGAGCGCCAGCGATCCTGTAGTTTGAAGAATGAAATGAATGTGTAGTGTATTTTAGAAATGTGCATCAATTAAGTTGCTACATTGTTTGAAAGAATTCGACTCCATGTTGATTTCTGGTTTAGTGTCAAACGCAGGGATTTAAGCGATTAACAGTTTGATTTGTAAAGTATAAGACATGCGTTCATCTGTTGTCATTGGAGTGCAGAATAATGTGTAATACTGTTATATATAATGCATTTAACTCCTTGTATCAGTTTCCATTGGCTATCATCGCTACCGAAGACAGGAAATCATCAAAGACATGCCATTCATTGCAGAGGTCAAAAACAGATGGCCTGCCCTGTTTTCAGAGACTGAGGTAACTCTTACTAACTTTGTTATTGCAAGTCATTTTCATAAGAACTTGTATTTGAAGAAGAACAAAGTACTATAAATTGTTAATTTTAAAAGATACAAAATGTTTGACTGAAAGTTGTAGCATTCTTGCATGTGGCCTCTAATTAAATTAATAGAGAATACTCTCTAGTTGTAATTTTTAATATGTTTCAGGTTATTGCAGAGTTCGCCCGCATCACCATCGTCCCTTTGTTGTCAACTTTCATGGCCAAGCTGGACCACTACGCTGACCACCTTCTTAGTGTTCAAAGAGAAGGGGGAACAGCTAAACGCAATATGAACTTAATCATGGCAGCCATGGATGGGGTATGTATTTTAGTTGACCTTGATTGAGCTCTGAAATTATTTGAATGCTTCTTCAACTTCTGTGTCTGTCATTAATCAGATTTTTTTTTCAACTGAATATGTGTATATTTGGATATTTTGTAGATACATGTGAATCAGTGACATGCAGTCAAGTGAGGCACCTTAATGAGAAGTAAAATACTAACAAAAGAGAAATTCAATTTGTACACTAGATTTTAAATTTGCTTTCTGTGTGATTTCAATATTTTTATGGTCAAAATTGCTGTCATTACGGATTTTCTGTTCAAATACAAGGTAAAACGCTGAGAGGAGGCAATGATGATGCTGTGTCTCATCACGGACACACACATGCGCAATCCCACTGCTGTTTCTCTAAATCGCCAACGTACATGTTTGATTATACATGTAATACAGATGATGACTTGATGCAGACCTAATTTATTTGACGAATGTGTGTTACATGTTTAATGTTATTGGTCATAAATGTGCTGCAAAAATGCATGGAGTGAGGCTGATGGAGGGCAGTGCTGAACCCTAAAGGCAACATGTATAAAAGGTACACGTATATGGATTCACAGTGTAATCACATTACACTGAGAGCGCCATTGACACAGTGGATAAAGCAGCGCACTTGGGGAACATCAGTAAATTTCACAAAGGACAAATCGACATCAAATCAGTCCTAAGCAATGAGACGCACCAATTTTATTTCAATGCATCTCCTATTTATAAATTAATAAATTGATGTAAAATGAATGATTTTTCTATAATTGTTTCCAGGTCATTTGACCAATTTATTTACTAAACACAAAAAATGAGACACACAAAAACCTAAATAATTTTAATGCATCTTCTGTAGGGCTGGGCACTTATTGCACTGCTTATCAATATTGTGATAACACATGTCCTATGTAATTAAAATGATAGACTGCTTTCAAACCTCTTAAAAAAAAAAGATAATTTAGTTGAGACTATTAATTATTCCATTAATGTCAAACTTATCATCAGTTCAACAAAATAAATAACTGCTGGTTTGTCTAAATAGCACATTTGCGAAATTTAATTTGCAGTATTTGTGAGGCTGCATTGATAGATTTATAGGCAAAAATACTATTGTGATTTTTTTATCGTAACTCTTATTGTTATCTAAGGAGCTTGGAAAGAAAAGCGTCTGGACTTCTTCAAGTTGCTTTGAAGACGTTTCATCTCTCATCCGAGAAGCTTCTTCACTGAAGAAGCTTCACTTTTCTTTCCAAGCGCCTTAGACTACAATGACCTGGATGACTGAGAACCTTCACAGACTTATTGTTATCGCAAAAAATACCACAAAATGTCATGATAGGATTTTAAGTCCATATTGCCCAGTTCTAATCTTCTATTTAATTTTAATATTTTTAGGGGCACAATTATTAAATATATTGTTGAACAATCTAGAATTGATTAAAGCAAAAATGAAAGCTTTCACGTAATGTCAAAATTGAAAAGCTTTGATTTTTGGGTTCATATATTTGTTTATCTGACTCAGAGGAGTCAGTTCCTTACCAATCATGAACCTCACTGCATGTTATGAAACATTGCTTAATCACCTATCTGGATTATGTGTTAATATTTTTGACTTTGTTTTGTAAAGAGGTTGAAAGGAACCAAAATAGGAAACTTCTCTCATATTGAGTTCTTATTTCCACCAGAATCCCAGCGTTGATGTTCGACGGGAATGCGTTCTAAAAACTATCTGTGTCTACTTAAATGAAAAGCCAGACGACCTGTTCAAGGAATTCTTGGTAAGTTAAAAAAGGAAAACGATCAGTTATTGTCCTTTTTTTAATTTGGGGTTGGAAATGGAAGGTGGACTTACTTGTCCATATGTATATGTATGTAATTAACTTATCTTTTTCTTTTCTTTTTATTTTAAGGATGTGGATCTTGGAGCAAGCAGAGAAACGGAGCAGCTGACTTTGGGAGTCTATGTTGTCAAACATGAAGGAGCAAACTCTGTAGATACACCTGAGGACATTGGTGTCATCATAGAAGGATGCACTGTGCTGCAAGCTCTTAGTGATGTGGCAAAGGGTTGTGGCCTCCTGCTTGGACTAATCTACAGTCTAAATCTGAGGTACCCAAAGCACCTGAAATACACATTTGAATTTCTTCAGAAGGTGCTGATGGAGTTGGATGGGAACAACCTATCCATGAAGGTGCAGGTTCTGAAAAACAAACTGCTTGAGTGAAACAGCCTGCACTGAACTATAGAGGACACTGAACTTTAAGGTTCTCGAACCCTTCTCCTTGCACTTCATAAACTGTTCAGTTTGAATTGCCACAAGAACTTCTGCAAGGCCTTTCACTTTTCTGCATTCTTTGCTCTTGAACCTTTACCAACATCCAACTACACTGAAAAAGGCTGCTCCTAACTTTGGACTTCAGTTTAAGTTTTGAAGCAATGGTTATTTTTCTAAATATGGACAAAAATGACACTAAAGTAATTTCTACCTGCTGTTTGCAGGGCTGTATTGCGGGCTTTTCATTGTAGCCCACACTGTTAGCCTTTGCAGTAATTTCCATAGCTTAGTACTGCAAAATCAACAGTAAAAAACTAAAGGATGTTAGCAGGTTAATATTGTAATTTGCATGTAATTGTGGGAAAATTCCATGAGATTACATTATTTTTACGGTAACTCACCGTACTCATGGAAACAGCTGTAAAATACAGCAAATGTAACAATTGGTGATGTTACTGAGATTATACTATTACACCATCCGGATTTCTGTTGTTTTCTACTGTAGATCTAAGAGTAATTACTTAAATCCTCATTCAGAGTGTATTACTATAAAATGCGATTCACTGTGAAAGTAGCATAACATATAAACTACAATATACAGCACAATTTTTAACTTAAGGAGTAAGTTGCAGCCACACTAAAATTTAATTCCTTGAACTGAATGGAACCTCATATATTAATAAATGTATTTGTTTA